GCTTTTGATGTCGAAATAAATTAGTTTTTTAAACAAAAAACCGCAGGAACTAAGTTTACCACCTAATAATATAAGACCACTTAAAGCCATTTAACAAAGATTTAGAGATGACAATACTTTAGAAAATACACTTTCATACCCAGGTAGCAAAGTGATGTCTAAAGATGTCTTAAGACATCTATGACATCTATGACGTCTTAATGACATCTTAATGATGTCTTTAGACGTCACCTTGCTACCTGGTTAGAGCTTACATATGGATAACAATCGAGAATATCTAATAGTCATAATATAAATAGTCATAATTATTAGTCGATCTAGTCGATTACCGGATGTTGCGAAATATTCGAATGTATCATCTAAACCACCTTGCAAGTTATCGCACGATAATTGAACTTTATAAGTCCATAATTTTCACTGTGACCAAGAATTCACTTGTCTTGTACTTATCGCACAGCTGCTTCTTTACACTGAGAGAGGCCGTGACATTACTGTTTAATTATCCTTATCGCTTAACGCTTCTTCGCACTTATCGCTCTGACTTTCTTTTTTATTCTGGAATATTTGCTTACACAATAGTTGGTGCAGACTTTTCCGATGAAGTCAGCAATGCATTAAATGGTTAAGATTATATACTATTCACGAACTTGCGGGGTAATCAATTATGACACTACCCATCCAGATAGCACAGAGAATTCAAAAACATTCAGTCGTATATCACCAATTCATTTTCAGATGTAAAAAGAATTCTTCCCATTGAGAAATGACTTGTCGATCGATGTCGAAATGACGTCGAATCGATGTCGATTTGACGATTTCGACGTCGATTCGACGTCATTTCGACGTCGATCGACGAGTCATTTCTCACTGGGTTCAGAGTTCAGTTCAGTGAAAAGAATTCTTTTTGAATTTAAAAATGAATTCAGAATTGATAACATACGACTGAATTCTTTTAAAATTCTCTGTACTATTTGGGTAATCGAACCTAGACAGCACAAATTACTAAAAGATATCTTAAAAACGTTCAAAAGATATCTTTTGGACGTTTTTGAGACATTTTTTTAATAAATTGTGTTGTTTGAGAAGTGACAACCCAAGGAGCGCCAATAAGCGTATAACGCGCATTTAATGCGCATTAAACTGCATTAAATGCGCATTATACGCACATTGGCGCTTCTAGGGTTGTATATACGAAACATTTGGTATGAAAATTGCGACGCGTAAGATTTAGGAAAAACGGAAGTATCTCTTTTTTATGCTCTTATCTATCCTCAGATAGTTTAAATATTTTTTTCTACTCTTATCTATCGGATAAGAGTATGATAAAGGGCTAATATTTGTATCGCTAGAAATGACTCACAATAATGATTATATGATCCTCCGTCGGAAAAATCGTATGCAAATCGTATGCAAACTGGTGTACGTGACTACTTACTGTTGTGCAACTACGACACTACTTCTAATTAGCATTAATCTGCACCACTAACGATACTGCACTTATCGAACGTGCTACCCTTCAAAACCGCTCATCTCGCGAGTTATACGATTGTCCTCGTATATCGATTATCGCGCGACTCGGTCAAAGTATTACTGCTAACAACTTTACTCGCAGAACATCTGTCAACGGTTTTTTCGCACGCATATTTTCAATTAGTCTAAGCTCATTTCTATATATTGACATATGAATATCTGGACAGAATAATAGGAAGTTTTATCTGTTACTTATGCTTATCATTACCGAAAAGTAATGTGCGAATATTAGTTTATGTGCAAATATCAATTATATGCAAATGTTAGCAAATATAAAAAATAAATAGCACAATAAGAGTCTAAAATCATTTAAAATATAAACGCTGACATTAAATATTTTATTTTTAATTAGATGATTTTTATATCGCGCTTTTAGAATAACTATTTATGCGAGTAGATATTGACGCAAATCTTTTAACGGTTTGTTTAATAGTGTTACTCTTACCTTAGTGAACTGACGTTGACATGTATTGCTTCTTTGAAATAGCTTTATAACTTTGCAATTCATAGACACGAATCATCAAATATAAGCAGTCAAAATATATAGTTTCCGCCGCGTTATATTTTGTTTTCCAGTGTTACAAACACTAAAATATATACTATCTAGAACGCGCGCTGTCTCGTGAGGACTGCGAGATGAGAGAGAGATCCCTGTTTCCTCTATCCTACTTATCTGATTCATAGTATAGTCGAGAGTGGGGAAAATGTGACATTCACCCCACTCTCGACTATACTATGAATCAGATAAGTAGAACAGAGGAAACAGGGACCTCTCTCTCGCCCCGCAAACCTCACGAGACAGCGCGCATTCCAGGGGTCTTATTCTAAAAAAATATCGCATACGATATTTCTATGAAAAACTCATATATAGTTCATGTTACGTATATTATAGCTTTTTATAGAAACATCGTATGAGATATTTTTCGAGAATAAGGTCCCAGGTAGTATATATTTCAGTGGTTACAAACTTGTGCATGACAGATCTCGCCAACCGAATACTGGGTGAGCAAATAAGTGGTCGAAAAGATTATTAGACCCGTTATTTCTTGTGACATTACAAATTAGTTCCAAAATCTCTACTACGAACACAGACTTCTATATAACTACTAGACTGCTAACTCTCTTATATAGTGCTATGTAAAATTGATCCCGAAATTGATTGAGTATGTATTACGTACGGGAAAAAGCCATTTGCGCATACCTGAAACTGGTATTCCAGAAGAAGAGGGGATATAAATGTAATATGGCCGATGCTACCTGCTTAAATATTTGTGTACGTACAGAGTAAAAAACGTCAGAATGAAATACGTTACAGTAAAAAATTTGTAAAAATAAGTGATTCATATCTATATCAGAGTGCAATAATGTCAATTGTATATCTATATCAGAATGCAATAATATCTAAAACGAGATGTTACATTGTGAATGTCGGAACACCAAATAGACCCATGCGCGAGATTTCTATATATACTTTTCGGGGCTATGTACTGAGTCGAAGTTAGTAGTCTAGTAGTATATAGAAGTCTGTGGCTACGAGCGGCCACTTGAGGATCGAAGTAGTAGTACGACTAAACAATGAGTCAGAAGCGTCTTCGCTTCGTTTCATCAAGTAGTACTACTCAGCGGCGAGTTAGATATCTCTTTATTTTATCATCATAAAAAATAACTATAACTCTATTAAAAGAATTAACAAACACAGAAAGATGCTTTACTGTTCGTTCAGAAACGTACAAATTCTATGAAAAAAGATGTGACTTTGTTAAATTTATACAACGAATTTTGTAATTTTATATGTCAGATTTTTCTGTAGCAAATATTTTCTATATGTTCTTAGAATTGGTATACATTATATCACTATAGATGCGTTCGGGGAGCTCGCTATTAGCGCCATTCAGCGTTCCGTGTTATGGCTTCTGCATACAGGACGCGGTAATGCTTGCCGCGCGACGGAAGTCCGCACGACAGCCAATCAATATGTTGTTTTTCCATAAGAGCTAGAAGGTTAGCATTACGGAAAGCAGCATATTGATTGGCTGTTGCGCGAACTTCCGCCGTGCGACAAGCATTACTGCGTCCTGTGTGCAGGAGCCATATTCAATCCTTGTTGTTTATCTAAGGAGCGATAAAGATAGAAGAACGCGATAGCGTTGGTAGCGTGCTTTCTGAACGCACCCAAAATCTTTAAATGGGATACAAATTGTTCTGGCATTGTTAACAATTTTAAGACAATTTTAAGGATTATTACCTTATGTTGTAGTTGTATTTTTTTAATTTATACGGTGAATATCCAGAATTGTGCAAGTTACTTTAAAAGTATGTGAAAATTTCAAAGGTAACATTTTAATTGTTGTTTCTGGAAATTCTATGCTATAATCTTTTTTATGTATATTTCTTTGCAATGCTCACAGCTGAAATCAGTACATCAACATGACAGTCAAGGAGAAATTAAAAGAATACAGACGCAAGAAGTATAAGGAGGAGATAACAGAGTCGATTAAAGTCACTATAGGAAACGTCTTACCATGGAATCGCAATTGTGAAACAGAGAAATTAGTCGAAGAATCAACAAAACAAGAGGAGGTGAGGTTATATCAGTTACTCTCTGGATTTTTCGTCTTTGTAGATACAATACGCATTTTAATGAGATTTAATGATATTTTAATTAATTTAACTGATATTTTAAACATACTTTGTACATGTTTAGAGTTTGTTGGAATTTTATGTACCTTGTTTTTTGTATATGTACATTCCAGCAATATAACTATATATAGCCTTTTTTGTCAGAAGGTTCAGCTGTGCGAGAAACCACAGGATATACAAGAAAATGATCAGGATACTTGGTTAGAAAATAACGTACAGAAATCTAAAAGTACAGTTATTACTACAGTAATTTATATATTATACTTCATGTTATGGGTTATACTGTATGTTATCGCAATAGAGTATGAATTTGGTGCTGTTTATTTTATATTGTCAACTTTGATATTTATTTGGTTGAATACTAGATCTGAACCAAAACAACAAGGTGAACCCAGTGCCTACTCTGTTTTTAATCCAAATTGTGAAGCTATAGAAGGAACACTTGACGCATCACAATTTGAGAGAGAAATAAGATACGGTATAGGAAGTACTCAATAAATTAAGACAAATTGATAAAGTTTGTAAATAAGCTTGGTATTAAATTGATGCATTTTAAATTATTTAAATCTAAAAATATAATTAACTTCTTTGGGTTGACGATTTAAGCATATGGTGTATGCAAATTGCAATTATAGCTTTGCGATTTCAAAGAATAAATAAATGGTGGTGATGTTGTTTGAGTATAAATGTAGATTATGTTTAATACAATTAATTCACAACTATATTTATAACAATTTTTCTTTAATATTTAATTTAAACCAAGTGTTATACATCTTTTAATTACAATCTAAATGAGGGAATCTGGCAGTTCTAAAGAGACATGCCATGTGATAAATATGTTAAACTATTTTGAAAGTTATAATAGTTATACTGTGATATACTTTGTATACATATCATACTAAGAATTATATTAAAGTATGAAATAATGTGTGTGTATGCTGGTCGCGCGTGTATATATGCGTTGTGTGTGTGTATTTCATATTTAAATAATGGACAGAAATAATTTATACATATTTATACATATATTTTCCATGGATAATAATAATTGCTTAAATTAAAGTAGAAATTGCCAAAACACTTTTATGTTTTTATGAGATACGAACAATCTAAGGTATAATAAACTTGTTTTGAATTGAACTTGTTTTAATACTTAAAATGCATATGCATGTATATAAATTGAAACCACAATAAAGTTTGAAACGTCCAAAATATGTATATTGAAAAATGTATATTGTCACAACGAAAATACATCTTGTATCAAATGGACAAAGATGAATGAACGAGATTTTTCTAAAACTGGTCATTTCCTGATTTCTTATTTTGCGCAAGCATATTCTTACAAACTTTTTTCCTTTCTTCCATTATTCCTGTAAAATTTGTATAGCGTTTTCATAACACTTTATCATGTCGTTGAGGTAATTTAATGTACTATTCGTAGATTTCAATGATAATTTGCGAAGAGTCGCTAAATCGGTTTTGGAATAGAATCTTTCGTCGGGACACAAAAGCGCTCTATCCAAATCCAAAAGTAAGTCATTCCATATTCTCATACATAATGCCCTGGAACATTTCCTCACATGTACTGATATAATTTTATACTTTTTTACAATATTATGTTTAAGTAACTTTTCTTAATTTATCCGCAGATGAAATACAATAGTATTATTTATTCGAAAGAAAAGAAGCAATTTTAATAATAAATGGATATGCTATGATCATTGTGCTTACTGCGTATTCTCCGTTGTGTCAATTTTTATGTTGAGATCTTTTATGGCAGCTAGTAATATCCTCAACGTTCTTTTTAACTTCTCTAAAAGAAAAGAACATTTTATTTAGTTAGGATTTTTTCAAATAATAGTAGTAAAAAATTTAAAAATAAAATATACCTATAACTTCTTGAAACTTGCTGGTGTCAATCGATTCCAATATCCTATTAATAGTTTCATTGAAATATTTTGGCTCCCATTTAATAATTATACTCTCGGATAGTCGCCATATAGTTTGACTAATCATTTGTGCCAGAGTTACAGCATGTAATCGCGAATTTTGATCGTGGTAAATTTCGTTTCGCGTGAGATTGCTCTCGTTCTGTAAAAATTTATAGAAATTTGTAGGATACTATACATTTTTTACCGTTTAATGTGTTAACTAAAATAGATCCAAGAATATATTCCATTGAAATGTATTACAAAATGATGACAAGTTTTACTGAATCAAAAATTTAAAATTATTTCACATTATTCAGATCAAGCGTGATTATATTACGCAAGTCAATTTACATACTTACGAAAGAAAATAATACTTGTGGAATATCCAGAAAAAGGCGGGAATCAGATGCTTTGCGTTCAAGGTGTGTCCAGTTACTATTACCGGGAATTGTTTTGATAGCTTCAATAGCTATGGACTGCATAATGTCTGATCCGGATAAAGTCACGTAACCGTAAGCTGAAATTAAGTAATTCTTCGTAAAAAATTTTTCTTTCATTACATGGAATACATGGAAATTTGAACAAACCTTGTAAAGAATAATCATGTACCGCCACATATGCCACGACTTTTCGCCGTAGAAAATCAGGCAAAGTCTGTGGACAAACATCTAAGGGCAGCAGAGACACGCAGAAGATCAAACTTCGTCGTGGCCGCCAATCGTGTACTGAATAAATCCTATCTAAAACCTGTACCATTTCCAGAGTTATAATAATACCATCCCCGTTGGCTGATAAGATGATATATCTATCTGAAATAATCCGGTAAAATAGATAAAATTATAAAAAAAAAAAACTATCGCGTTTTCTTGTCTCAAGTAAAATAAGTATAATTACAAAACGCTTAATATAACTGCAATCTTTAATTAAACATGTAATTTTAATGGGTAAAAGTAGCTAAGACGTTTTGTGATTTTTTTCTACAAACTTTCTCTTCTTTTATATAATATATACTTTAATATATACTTTAAGTTAATATAAACGAATACATTTTGCATATTAATTAATTGAAGACTTACCTGGTTCTCGTGACCCACGAACAGTTGCGTGAACACATGATGTATGATTGTTTACTTCGTGAATAAATGATAAGTTGGTAAAAAATCCGCTAATATGTCGCATGTCGACTTCTATGGAGTTCGGCATCTTCCAGTTTCTAGTTAGAAATATTGTATAAATGATTTGTGACTGTAGAATTTAATTCGACGATCGTCTATATTAGCATATTGAGAGTTTAAGATCGTATTAATAGTTACTTGAAATTTGTTTCAAATGAGATTTTTAGATTCGAGTTTAGAGCTAGATAAGTAAGTTTTTCAATGATAGCAAACGTAACATCACATGTATCATATGATTTATCTGAAAAGTTTAGATTTAACTCTAAATTTAAATCTAAGTATCTCAGTGGGACAAATTTCAAGTAACGACTATTAATACAGGCCTAAAATTCTGGGATAATTGAGTTAACTAATGATACATAACGCACAAGGAACAAATATAAACATCTTTTTTAATGGTCGTAATAATTGAATCGATAGTTTAATTGAATATTTTATCTACGTACATTTTGTTAGTTGATTATCACATTTCGTAAATATGAGAAGACAGATATTAGACGACATACGCATAGTCGTGGTCAAAAGATGCCTCTTCCAATTCCCGAAGCGCTAGTTGTTGAAGGTATTCCGTATTCCGGAGACCGTTATCCGCTAATTCGAGGCGCATCTTTTGCATCCGAGCCTCCATCGATCTTTCAACGGCAAAGCGACCTAACAGAAAGCCGCAGAGAAGGCAGAAAAAGCCGACCGAGAAGAGGAACGAAAAGCACAATCGTTTCGTCACGAATTCGCTAGATTCGCCAGTACTGCGACCCATTTGGAAGCTGAGAACTCGATGCATCCTCGCGGAGTACTTGCAGGAATCTCTTCAGAGATGTCTTATCGACAACTTCTTCCTGTCAGTTTTATTTTTCATATACCATATGCAAATGAAAATTTTCCTCTTTTATAATCACGTTTTATGTTACAAAGAATATGTTTCGTCGATTCAACAATAGTTATCTTAAATGACTCTAAATACACATGAAAAAAATCGTTATCGAGTATCAGATCTAGTTGAAACTGAAAGACCGTCGCTGATCATTAGCTTCACACGAAGAGATATGTCGTGTGTATATTTTAGTCCATTAGAAATGCACTACAAATGTATTATAAGTACGATTTTTACACACACATATCACACGTATATCAAACGAACTCATTTTCGTGCACTCTTAAACAAAATTCACATACAGAAAACTTAAATCACTAAATGGTACGCGCATAAATTCATTCTTCTACATTAAAAGTCATATTGAAACTTCCTCAGAAACATTTACGATATTTTCACGAAGAATTTGCGCGAATATCTCAATTATTCGACGAAATGTAAGTACAATCCATTTTCACTAGTCGGACTGGTGATATGGATCGATTGTACAGATAAACACGACAAGATCCAGTTGGTCATGACAACGCGATGGTCATTAAACTCGGCGATAAATCATCGTCGAGATTTCGCGTAGGCACGTCTACTCGGATCCGGACTCTTCTGGTTACTCGGAAGAGAATCACGCTCCAGATTTTGATCATAGATTTATACAACTGTTTCCCGCTGTTTTCGTTGCGACCAAATCGCGTGGGACACCGGAGATATATTTGACAGTCCGTGTCCGACGACTTTCCGCCTCTCCGACGTCTCGTTTATTTTATTTTCGTGTCAAAAGCGCGCGGGAATGTGTTTCATTTTTTTTGCACTCGGAGGAAAAAAGGGAAGCGAGAAAATGAGAGGGTCTAAACGGTATACAAGGTGTCCCGAGAGCAAGACATAGTAATGAAGTTACTCCGTCCGTGAAATTCGTAATCGAGTTTTGCTTGAAAAAATTTCGGATTGAAACTTCGAACTGAATTTTAACAAATCCAACACTAAATTTAATTTATTTTAATTGAACACATATGCAACGAACAATAATTTATTTCAGAGACTTATTAGATTGCTATACTAAACGAAATAATGTGGCTATGTAAAGGAGAGAAAGTGTAAATGAGAGTTTACTTTTTGAGTGACGTTTCGTTTAATACTCGTGGAAACAGAATCTCAAGAGAATAAAATGTATATAAAATTCATGTATATAAAATCCAGTAAGTTTTTTTTAAATGAATTACTTCATGCAGTTGCAAATTCTTTAAAGATACAATATTGCTACATATGTTTCTCGAGCACCTTGTATACAGATACTTATTTCGAGCAATAATACGGCGACGACGTTTCATTTATAAATAGTTTTCGATGTATTACGTGCACGTGCAAGGTTGTTCCAACTATAGCTTCTTCTGTACGAACTTTCGAAACATACGGATTTTTCACATGTGTTAATGACAATACCAGTTTCATTTCTTCCATCATCATGAGAAGCTTCGTTATTTTTGAATCCCTGAACGTTTCTATCCTCTAAAAATTACCTGAATAAAGATATTTAACTTAAAGATATTTAATAAGAGCAACATGATATATTGTACAATTTATAATTTGAATTTCTTTTTAACGAAGATATACAAGATTTAACATTTTTTTCTGTTTCGAGTAATTTTTTTACCATTATACCACGAATTCAACAAACATTAGAGATTAAATAATTGTAAATAAATAAGAGAAAATTATAATTTGATTTGAAAGTCCAGATTTGAAGATTGTCTTTTCAAATCTCGCGATCATACTAAAGATCTAAAAGATTCAATCTAAAAAATCTAAAAGATTAGACATATGATACAGAGGAAGGATCGAATAATTTTGGTGAAATATAAAGCACACACATACATATTTTAAAATACATTATATCAAATATTTTATTAATAAAAAGTATGAAAAGTTCAGTTATACTTACAAAGATCGTAATAAATTTTCTTTCGTTTTTTAGTGTAAACTTTATAAACTTTTATGCTTTTTTCAAGATTTATTAACCTTTTCTTGCTTTTCAAGAATTGATTAATAATTACAATTTCTTTAAATAAATGTATGATTTGTATATAATTGTAGAGGAAAGTAGCCAAAAGCGACATAAGTCTCCTAAAGCGATATACCTCTATATCTCATATATTAAATGTTGTATTTTATCGAAACTAATATAAACGTAATCTGTTTTATTAGTTAAGTCATAAAAAATGCATACTTGGTATATTTCTTGCTCCTTTATATGCTAAATTAGCAAATATCGAATTTTAAAAATTCGCAAGTTTTACTTCTATGATTTTTATTGTCGAATTACGTAGACTAAATAGTGATAATTATCATTTTGTTTAATATTAAATTTTTCTACATGCATTTGGCTTTTGTAAAAATATTTTTTAAATATTTTTACCTTCATCACTTTTTTACTGTATAACTTGAAAATTTTTATGAGAATGTGTCTTAAAGCGACATACCTACAATATGCGATATTCTGTGACTAACATAACTTGATTAATAACCTCCCATTGTGACGTGACATTTGTTTATTGTAAAGTTAAATTTTATTTAGTTTAAAAATATAACATGTAAAACATGTGAGAAAATGAAAAAGATAGAAAAAGATATGTATTTATTTAATTATATTTCCCTTTTTTATAACATTATATTTTGAATAAATGAATATTATTCAACGCATTAATGAACTATTTATTATCAAATATTATCATATATGCGACATGTTATATAAATTCCAGTAGGTATGTTGCTTTTGGCACCTATTTTCTTTGAACTCCATTTTTATGCGTTTTACGAAAACATTTTTTGTTTTAAATCTAGAAACAATTTCAGTTTAAAATGTGATATTATCTGATAGGAGATACTTCCAACTACATGTATATATATTTACATTTATATTTTGAGCTTTATATTAAGACATAACGTCCAAAAATAAAGTGGTATGTCGCTTTTGGTGCCTTTATTCTATATTGGTGTTTTTAACATAAGTGTTTATCAAAATTCTAAATATAGTTTGGAAATTAAAATTAAAAAACAGACATTAACTTTAGTGTAATATACATAAGAATCGTTAATTTTAATTGCAACTGTTCCTCTTAATTTCCAAACAGTTAATTACCTTAAAATTGCGCAAGAAATTAAATAACATTTCAATTATTATGTAATCCACATTACAGAGAATTTAAAAAAAATTAATTTCACGAGGCACTCTATCTTAAAATTTCCATTCTTTGTTTATAAACATTCTTATATTAAAGAATCATTCTTATATTAAAGAATAATATAAGAATATATTATAAGAATATAATATAAGAATATATTATATTAAGAATCTTTTCTTTTTGTTTGTAACATATAATAACTAATATTTAGCATTAGCTAAAAGTAAAATTACACGATGTATACACAAATCTCACACTTCAACAATTAAATTACTTCATATAAAATGTAAAATAAATTAGCATTAAAATATAAATATATTTACATTCAATACAAATTTTTGACTTGTATCTAACTTAATTTTCTTAAAATATCTTTATTACACTCGCACGCACACACACGCACACAAACACCCATATAAAAACAAAATAATATCACATTGTTGGCGCATGTTGCGTATGGAGTCATACAACAAAAATATTCGACTTTATCAATTTGTTCACGCTTTTCAAGAAGATTGAGACTGTTACCAGTATGTAATTAAGTTATCTCCCGCTCCTCCCACACACACATATACTGCATACTAATTTCATTACAATTCGATTAGAAAACATTAATTACAATGACAGATTCTTAGTTTGAGATATCTTTGACACATCTGCTATCGCAGATCGAACAAGGATTTATCGGTTGTTGCGATAAATCAAAAAGTTATGCAAGTTAGACAGAACTTTTCCGCACTTCTCGCACAAATAGTAAATGCCCACGTGACTTTCCATTACTTTCAAGCAAGCTGATTCGGTGTGTTTCGATATTCATTCGGAGATATGTTTTGTATATTGTCTGGTGTTTATCGCGAAGCTCTCTCTTGATCTTATCCTAGAGTTGCTTCTTAACTGGTTTGGACATTGGTAATTTTCTCACAAGTTTAATTTCTGTTAAAGAAAATTATCCAGAGCAATCGATAATATTTATTGTTAAATCGAGCTCTGTCGTAACAATAACAGATTCTTCTCTGCAGGATCTGTCGTCCCTCTGCAAGTTGTTTTGAGCGTGTCCTGTCAACTCGACACTCGACATACGAGACAGCCATCTGAAAAGAGAATCAGTCCGTTACTTGGCGGTGGTCAAGCAGCGCGACGGCTCATGGTTGAGTCTCTTATGGTTAATTAAGTAACGCTTCTGTCGGAATGAGAGATTGCAATCGGTGCAATGCCAGGGCTTCTCATCCGAATGGATCAGTTGGTGTCGTTTCAATTCGTATTTTATGCGGAAGCAACGGCCACAGACGTCGCAGGCATACGGTTTCTCGCCCGTGTGCTTGGTAATGTGCACCATCAACGGCGGCCGTGTGCGAAAGGTTTGCTCGCAGTAGCTGCATTTGAACGGGAACACGTCCGAATGTGTGCGATTGTGCACGAAAAGGGAGGCTTTCTGCTTGAATGTCTTGCCGCATACGTTACAGACGTACGGTCTCTCGCCGGTGTGGATACGTCGGTGATCCTCCGCATTGCGCCGCGTAGAGAACATGCGACCGCATAGATCGCACGGTATGTTTTTGATGCCGGCATGGGTCTCTTTCAGATGCCGCGCCAGGCCTTGGTTGACACGGAATCGCTTGCCACACATGTGGCAAGTGAATAGTCGCTCACCCGTGTGGATGCGTATGTGCCAGTAGAAAGTATAAGGAGAGTTCAGGTTTTTCCCGCATTCGCTGCAGTGATAATACACTTTGCCATCGTGCTCTATTCTGGCGCGCATCACGGTCTCCGTATCCACGAACGATTTCCGATTTTTTCTTGTAAACTCGGAGTGCACTTCCGTCAAGTGGACATTCAGTAGTTTCTTCTTCTCCGCGGTGTACTCGCAATGTATGCAAGAATAAGTTCGCGAAGACCGTTTTCTCAGAGACTTTGCTGACTCAGCATGGCATTGATTTTCATTGGCCTTTGCGCTTTTCGCATATTCATTCGCACGACTTAAATCTTCTCGTTTCGTCGAATTGTCATCCATTTTTTTGTCCTTTCCTGCTATCGATGATTCCGTTTGATTGGTCGAACCGTGATTGTCACAGTTTGTCATGTGGAGTGTTAGGTGATATTTTGTTTTGAAAACGTGTTGACAGTTATCGCAAGTGTATCCCTCCTTGGTTGATTTCAAATATTGGCACTTCGAAGTATTTAAATCCTCCTTTTCATCAGATTCTACTTCGCTGCTATTATCCGACGAGTCGCCAGTTTCTCTTTCTGAGATTTCTTTTGTGTTCTGTGTAGTCAATTTCGCCGTCGCATCCGTGGATTTATTTTCGTACTTTGTTACGAGATTATTCGCCCATCGAGCAGCATTACGCGAAGAGCAGTATGCCGCGAAGGATTTCTCTCTCGCCGGGTCACACCTGGAAAAACAAAGGCGGCAGATTTGAATCGATTTCCTCGCTTTGTCGGTGCATTGTCGAAGGACCATGTCTACGCAAATAGAGAGAAAGAGGGCGAGTGGAAGAGAGACAGAAAAAGATAGTTAGGCAGGGGACGGTTTTGATCTGCGAAGTTCTGATCGCTAAGCGTGTTCTTGTCGTTAGCACACTCGCAGAGGCTCGTTGTGTCGGCTCTTAATGTGATTGTTCAAATAACGCTTCTGCCGAAAGGCAAGGCCGCACTTGGCGCAGGCAAACGGTTTGTTCTCCGAATGAATCAGTTGGTGCCGCGCGAGTTCGGACTTGATGCGGAACTTCTTGCCGCACGTGTCGCACGTGTGATTCTTCTCGCCAGTATGCGTGGTCACGTGGGCGAGCATCTCCTGCCGACGACGGAAGCGCTTGGTGCAATATGAACAGGCGTGCGGGAATTCGTTGGTGTGCAGCTTGCTGTGGATGTAGAGAGACGCCTTGGACTTGAAGGTTTTGCCGCAAGAGTCGCAAACGTACGGCCGTTCGCCGGTATGCGTACGTCTATGATCCTCTCGTGTGGCCTTGGATGCGAACGAACGGCCGCACAGGTCGCACGTGAAGTTCTTCAACTTGGCGTGCACGTCTTTCAGGTGCCTGGACAGGCCGCCAGAGTCGCGAAACTGTTTGCCGCAGATGTGGCAAGTAAACGGTCGCTCGTCCTTGTGGATTCTCATGTGTCGCAGATAGGAGTCCTTCAATTTGAAACATTTGCCGCATTCTGCGCACTGTTTGTGCGATTTGCTGACGTTGCGCCGTTTTCTTCTCTTCTTCCGGCCATCATCGGAAGGCGGCACTTCCTCCACTTCAACAGATCTCAAGGGATCATTGTTTTGCGGCTGCTCCGCGGGCAATTCAGCCGATTGATCAAGCGATGTGTCCATAACGGCGACCCAGACTGAATCGCAGTTTTTGGCCGCACTTGGTTTTTTCACACACACAGGTTCCACAGATCGTTTCCTGTATGGCTTCCAAAATACATTCTGCGTGTCCAGGAACACTCTAAACGGTGTCTGGACACCGCAAGACCTGCAAAATAGCCGAAACTTGACTCCTGATTTGCGCGCGCATGGCACAACGTAGCGGATGGTTGCCGTTCAAGTTGGTTATCACGGATCTTATCTTTCTGGGTAGAAAGATCTTTAAAGTCAACCTCCGGCTGTCTCGATATATATATATATATATATATATATATATATATATATATATATATATA